TAAATATTACCCATATGATCAACAATCATACCTATGGGATGAATTAGTGAATTGAGATTCTTATCAGCAACTTGTCCTGGAGCAACAAGAATACCTTCGGTTGCATTTTTTATCCATTTCATCACACGATTATTCATATAATCTGCTATGTAAACCGAATGATATTCATCGACGAAAATAGAAGTAGGTTGATCGAGTTGATTAAATCGATTTCCTTTCTCAAGTCCACCTGCTACAACTGTACTTTCTTTATCTCCTTGTTTCCAACGTTTGACTTGATGTTTTCCCCAATCAGAAATATAAAGATCTCCATTATTATCTATCGCTAAACCCCAACAAAGAATAGGATATATTAATATTTGTTGATCGTGACTATTTTGAAGAGACCATTGTATCACACGAAAGTTGCCGGGATCACAAATGACGATATTTTTCTTGTCTTTATCGAGAATTACATCTTTAGGATGATTCAATTGATGTATTGCACTTCCCTGCCCGTTTCCACCGGCAACTATTTCACCGTTGTTTCCGCCAAATTCCCATCTAACGATACGATGGTTCCACGTGTCAGCGATATAAATATTATGATCATCATCATCAACATAAATACCAGAAGGATAATTTAATTGATTCGATTTACTTCCCCATCCATTTCCTCCAGCAACAGTAATTGCATTCTGTTTCCATTTTGTATTAGTATTAATGATAACAGAAGGTATTAATTGTTCTAAAAAAACGTTAAAAAAACATTTCAATTTATTTTCTTTTCTTTCAGTATTATTCTATAGAAATATGATGTATAACTATTTTATGTCATTATTCAAATAGAATATCTAACAAGGGAACATTCTGATGTGTTTAAATCCTTTAGAATTCACTTTTTGATGATAGGTAGACCTCAACTAGGTATGAAAAACTTGAACAGGATTTGTCCGATCGTGCTTTTATTCCTGAGAAATAGGATGAATAAAAGTAGAACAAGTTACTTTATTTTTCGAAGACACTCGACATGAACTGAAACTGATTCTATATTTTAATCTAAGATTTCGAGTATTTGGTTGCACTATTCAATAGTTTTTCACCTGTTCGTTTTAGAATAAAGAATGGACTTGGAGGGAATGAAATTTCTTTTCATATTGTTTAATTATAAAACGATACCTTTGCTTGTTGTTTCAAGATTTAATCCTTCAATTATCGATGTATTTTCATCATTTGTTTTTTTCGTAAGAAAAGCAATTGCTAAAACAGCCATAAGTAAAATAATAACAAGAATAGAAAACAGGATTCGTGTTAATTTTCTCGTGTCATAATATCCAGATCTAGAAGAAAAGATCCTTTATATGATCTACTGCAATTAATCATATACATACAATGTCGATGGTTGCATTGGATTAGTACTGACTGGATGCACACCCTGAAATAAACAAGAAAAGAAGATTATGATGCAATGTTTTTCGTGATCTAAATAGATTACATTGTAAACGTTCACTTTGTTGCTCTTCATATCGTTGAGATTGATTCCAAATTTTAATACTTTCACAAACTAAAATCTACAAAAAACAATCTTCTCGAGTACAAAGGGGGTGATCGAAAATCACCATTTTTAACACACGCTAGAAATGTCATAATACGAAAGTCCTTGTCACCTAGATCACGAATCTGACATCCGTTTGTCTAGATCTGATCCTTTTTTTTTTACCAATTTCCATAGGGGAGTATCTGAGTCTAATATAGGGTAGTTGTATGGGATGTCAAACAAATTATTCAGAAAATTTTCTGGGAAAATTTTCTTTTCCCTCAAACTTTGTAGAGCTTCTTCTGCTGATCATTTTCGTATAAGGAAGTTTTGAATTCTGTTGAGAAATAACGACACTATCGTCAAAATAAAAAACATGGTAAAATAGCTTAAAATCCCATTTTTTACCTTACAAAATATAGGAAAAAGTCGAGTTTCTAATCTCGGACCGACTATATTTTCAAGAAATATGATATAGTAGGTTTTAAAGAGCACAGTTTTCTCTACAAGATCTCCTATGTCATATTTCTTGAGAATATAGCCGGTTCGAGATTAAAGACTCGACTTTTTTCTATATTTAATAAGAAAAAATGGGATTTAAACTATTTTACCGTATTTCACTATGTTTTTTATTTTGATGATAGCGTCGTCATTTCTCAATAGAATTCAAAACTTCCTTATACGAAAATGATCAGCGAAAAAACCTCTACAAAGTTTGGGGGAAGAGAAAATTTTCTGAATACTTTACGTATTTGTGTTTAGAACCCCATGGAACTACCCTATAAGACCTAGGTACCCCCCTACGGCAAACACGGCAAGAAAGCGATCAGATCTAGACAAACGGATGTCAGATTCGTGATCTAGGTGACAAGGACTTTCGTATTATGACATTTCTAGCGTGTGTTAAAAATGGTGATTTTTCGATCACCCCCTTTTAGCAATGTTTTCTCAAATATTGTAAAAAGGATCGATTTATGTATTTCCGTT